CAAAAAAAGGAAATTCCTGGTGAGTTATTCATCCCAGGGTATGGCGGGGTAGGAGGAGAAGCACTGTATTTAAAGAGAAATTGTCCCTTTTCTGGGCCTGACAACAGTTCCCCTTGCATGTTGTATCAGTGCTAAGATTCACGTGATACAGCTATTCCAACCCAATCCCCCAGGCTGTAAATGTTTAATTATTTGCTGTTGCTGTCTTTTATGGGACTTAATGTACAGGCTGGATTAAACATGTCACTATTGTGGCCTGTGGGAGCTGAGCGCTGGCTTCTAATTAGCCTTCAGAATGATTTCTGAATGACTCGCTTCATTGTCAGAGAGCTGATTTCCCACCCGTCGCTCGGAGCCATGCTGACACCTTATCCTGTCTGAGTATAAGCCTGAGGCAGCCACTGGTGTGAGCCAAGAATGTCGTCTCAGCTGGGAAACAAAGGTCTAATTCTACCATGTGGGCACCCACACTGAAATCAATGGGAGCTGAGAATGCCCCACACCTGGCATGATTGGATCCTATAACGGCTTTGTGGAATGGTTTGATTTATGCCGAGTTAATATCAGTGTGATAACCCATGCAAGGTGCCTGGTAATGGGCAGCAAAAACCCCCTAAGAGACAAGAAAGCAAAATTTCTGGTCAAGACATTAGAATTTCCCACTGCCTAGGGCCAGACTGCGAACTCCATGCAATGGGGTGAATTTATACATGTGCACAACACTGCGAGGCTCCGAGGTCCTATGCTGGCTCTCAGCACAGGGGAGAACTGACCACTTCCCTTAACTAGTCCTCTGAGGAACTGCTCATTTAAGCAGCTACTCAGCCCTTTGCATAGGGGCCTCCCCATATAGCCTGGGGTGAATGTTCGTTTCCAGTTGTGCTTCCCAGTTCTTCCACATAGTTCATTGTTGATGTGGATCTAACACTTGGCCACAGTCATCTTCAGAAGCGCTCAGCATGGTGCTCTGAAGCTTAGAACATGTCAGGACACTTGGGTCCCTTTCCTGCCTCTGCCACTGAGTCATTTCGTGTCCTTGGGCAAGTCATTTTGCATCCCCTTGCCTCACTTTTCTTGTCTGTAAATAGAGGAGAATCCCTCTCGCAGCCCACGAGGATGAGATGATGCTGCCTGAGCCCCTGCTCTGAGAAACTTGGTGTGAATGCACCAGGCTGATATAGAAATCAGCATGTCCAATGTAGGGCCAATTGAATGGGGGATCAGTGCTTTACTAGAGACCAGCACACTTTAGCGCTCAAAATAGCTTCAAAGGGAATGTCCCTGCAAGCTGGAGTCCCTGCCACCATTGCAGCATCCAGGTGCCAAAAGTAAGGCATGCTGGGGTCTTTATAGCCACAGTTGTAGGTGTTGAAATGAGGGCACCCAGTCCTGGCAGGTCTTAGAAATGTCAAGCATAACTGCTCACTGAGAGGAGCTTAGCACACCCAGCTCCCCTATTCAGCCAGTCCCTGAGACCTTCAGAGTGTTTTTCCAAATGTTAGTGCCTGGTGACTACTGTCCCCCATTTAAAGGGTGAAGAAACTGAGGCACAAGACAAGTGAGTGACAGCTGATAGGTCACTTCATGAGACCATGGCACAGACAGGGATAGAGTTCAGATCTGCAGTCTCCCCTGCTCCACCCCTGAGACAAGCCTGCAACAGCAGGTGTTGCCTGTTGAGCCTGGGCCACGGGAATAGGCCAAATCCAGCCCACAAATGGTTAAGTGCACTCACGAGGGGTTGGCACCAGCTCCTGAGCACAACAGTGGAGCTGGATACCAGCACGTCTGGACCAGAGGCAGGTTTATTGTGAGGTCAGGGTGCTAAATGCACATGAAAATGATCCCAGAGAGAGCAAGATAGCACCCAAGCTCTGGCAGGAGAAGTCTGCAGAGCCCAAACTAAGCCAGGAAGGCAGGAGGTGAATGAGCAGTGAATGCCTCTGCATTGTGATGCCTTGGCACAGACTTGGGGGCATGCCTGCACTTGATCTCTCCATGCTTTGTTAGGTACCAGTGCACCGTGCTTACCTCCTGTGGGCACACATGCTGGAGTGGGGGCCCCTGCCAGGCAGTGCCATTTAACCCCTTTGTTGAGTCTAGGAGGTCCTTGCTCTCCTGCCCAGCAGTGGGAAGCAGCCAGGATTAATGCAGATGTTGTTTGTTATTAGCTGCTATTCTCATTAGTAGCTTTGCTGAGCACCCGACTGTGTCTGACTCCCCATTGCGAAGGATCACAGAATCGGGGTTCCCAGGGCTCACCCAGTCTAACTTGCGGGGTGTCTTGATTATAGAGACTGCTGCTTTGCCCGGGTTCAGAAGCCCTTCCAGCTCTATAAGCTGGCTCATTGGCAAGTCCCTTGCTCACCTGTAGCATGCCATCTGCACAGCATTGGCAGCTTGTGCCCACCTCGTTGGGTCCATCTCACGGTCCTGTCAGTCAGGTGAGTGTTAGTTCCCCTCTAAGGAAGCTGAGGCCCAGAGAAGTGACTTGCCTGCAGTCGCACAGCCAAGGCAGTGGCAAAGCTGGGACTAATGGCTCCCTGCCCTGTACTAGACCTTACTGTGGCATAAGAGGTGTCATAGACTCACACCCCACCCACTCCGTTTCTGTTGCAGTCCATGTCTCTGTTGCAAGATCTGCTGAACGAGGTCAATGGTGTGAAGATGGCTCAGGCCTACACAGAAAACAAGATCAGAAAGATCAAGGAAAAGCTTGGCTGGGTGAGTCGGTGCCCTGCCACACTGAACGGCCAGCCTCCCTCCTAGTGCTCGAGGGGAGAGGTCCCCTTGGCGTCACACAGGGGAGCTGAACTGTCTCCTTTCCCCTTAGGAAAGCCAAACACCATCCTGGTCCCTTGAGTCCACCGAGCCCTCATTTCCTGCCACCCCCATGTACCCGTAGGGCACCTGAGGCAAACAGTATTACCCTGCTAGGACACGGCTGTCTCCTTAGGGCTCCACCAGGACAGGGCACGGCAGTGCGAGAATCAAGGTGATGGCTCCATCTGCAAGCCGAAGTTGCAAGGGAGAGTAAGGGCATTGGGATGAGGCCTGACAGCAGCCCCTCCTCACGTAGAGGACATCATGCAGCACTGCATAGGGGTGGGAGACAGCTGGTATCCTGCTAACTGCTGAAGAAGCAAGTGCTTCACAGATGGGGTAAGGGAGCCCAGCACTGGACAGCGGACAAAGGACCTGTCCATGCCCCTTTGAAGACTGCATCGAGGAGCCATCCTTCCATGCCCACAGGGGAGTGAGTCTCCAGGGAGCTTCCTCCTGACTGGTGCTGGCCTTGGGTTTTGGCAGAGAAGCGGCTGTTGCCAGGAGGGAGAGAAACTGAGCCTCGTGATGAAGCCACGGGGATGTGGCAGAGGCTGGCTGTACCCAGCTCACTGCTCACCCCAGCAGGGAATCCCCACCGCGGCCAACTGAGGGGACACTTGCATAATGTGCTGTCTCCCTCTGGGGACACAGCATGCTGCAAGGGCTCGTGGCTTTTTTGCAAGCCTCACAGGGCTTGGTACAGGGAAGGAATAAACATCTCGTTTCCTAGAGCGTGGAGAGACAGAAGCTGAGGGGTGGCCAGGGCTGAGCCCTTGCTGTGCCTTACACGCTCAGTGCCTCTGGCCCAGCTATCAGCTCTGCCCTCATCCCTCTTCCATTGCTGGTGCTAGCCTTTCAGCTTCTTCCTCTCCTTTTGGCCTTTTCCTGTTACTCAAACTTCTGAATGGAAGAGATTGGAGTAAAGTTGACTCCAGGCTCCTTTCTCCACCCTTGTGAATAAAAGACCTGTGCTCCACCAGTCCACCCCCTTTAAATCCATTTCTGACGCTCACTTCTTCCGTGCCAAAATCTATTGTGGTGAGCACCAAAATGATTCACAAGGAACTTGGTCAAGTTCAGTGATTCAGACATCTGAGGCTGGGCTTGGAGGTTTTTCCTTGGAGACGTTGTCCATGGATTTTGTACCCATTATACATCCCCATCTGCATGTGATACTATGAATTGAAAATAACTAGTTTAGAGTGGTGGTTTTACTTGCCTGCTGTGTTTTGAAGGGCTGTGACCAAGACCAAGAAAACCTATCCTATGTATAAACATCTCGCCTTGTCCTAGTTTTTAACCCTGACTCACGACTGACTTCAAATTAATACAGCTAACTACCTCTCTCTAGTTTTTAATGCCATTTTAGATAATCAAACCAGAAAGGGACTTAACAAAACAAAAGCCCAATTCAATTATGTTGTTCCCTTCACATGCCTGTAGATGGTTTTACAAGACCTTACTCAATTTTCCGGGACATTTACTGATCCATTTTGCACTTTGCTCACATCATTGGTCCCATTAGTTTTGTTTTCTATTTATAGGCTCATTTCATGTGCAGCCCAAGGGTGGTTGTGTTGATTTTTCTAACACCAGGTTACAGAATCACAGGAAAGTAGGGCTAGAAGGGATCTCATGAGGTCATCTAGTCCAGGTATGTTTGAAAGGATACCATCCCCTTGAGCCTGCTTTTTTGGCTTCTTTCTGCTATCAAAGCTTACAAATTTACATGAACTGAAGTATTTAAACTAAAGGAGCACTCCTGTACATCTCTTCTTGCTTAGTCGGTAAATCCCTTGGCATAGTCAGTTAGGCTCTTTCAAACAACAGTGGAAGCCAAAATGTTTCTCAGGCAGGAAAATATGAATGGGAAACCACCACTTGGGAAGTGGACCAATGGAGAGGTGCAGGAGCTGAAACAGCATTTAACTTGGCTTTTAAACAAACCACATTGGAAGCTGAAGATGCTGGTGCAAAGGAGGGAAGAATATATGCCAGTATGTATATTGTGTATGCGGGTGTGTATATGCACAATACAGATGAAGTTTTCTCTCTAAATTGGCCATGCCCCTTTGAAAGCATTCCCTCTTCCTCTCCCCCTCCCTCTCATACACATACACCCAGTTGCAGAAGGCTGACTAAATTCCCTTTCTTGCCTCCTTTTACAGCTAAATCCCCAGGAAGTTGACAGTCAACTGCAGCTCTGTTTCATGGATCAGAAGAATCTGAA